TACCACCACAAACATTATCAAACTCCTTTATATGAATGTTGGACTCGAGATCTCACACAACAAAGAGTGTTACACAATCATTAGATTAAATGTCCTAGTTGATCTAGCTATATATGCCTTTGTTTGGGATGTGGGTTGATTTTTTGACTTTTTAACTTTTCAGTTATTTTAGCTTGGGGCTAAAAAGTCTCATTTGGGATGATTTTTTTGATTTTTTTGACTTTTGTGAGAAAAAAAAAATGATTATGATTTAGACGTGACATTTTGTTTTACTAATTTTTTAGCCTATTTTGTCATTTTATGGCTAAAATAGTCCCAAAACCACCTGCCAAACATAGCCTGTGAATTGTTAGCACCATAAATTACTTGGGAAAATTACAAGAAAAAAAAAAAAAACTCAAGGTTTAAGCTTGTATAAAAATAAAATTTGAGTTTTTAATTTTGCTAATTAAAATCTTAATTTTTTAATTTGTTTTCAACTTAAATTATTTGTCTATTTTCAATGAGTAAAATTAGCAGAAAAATAATATTTTACTTATTAAACTCAAAGAAAAAGAATATTTTAAATATTTTATATACTCCTGAGAGGGTAATTTTTGGGAAAAATTGGGCCGAGCTGCGAGTTGGGCTTTGAGGCCCAATACACGAAAGACTGAGTAAAAAAGGCCGTAAAGGATACTCCGGCCCATGAGAGCAAGGTTACTCCGGCAAAGTTACTCCGGCCCAAGGAGGTGTGATTACCAGCTAACAATCAATTACTAAACTTACTACATGCAAGCCCAACAACCACTTCATTACTGTTTACATACAACGTCCAGAATGGGGGAAGAAATAAATACCACCACAAACATTATCAAACTCCTCTATATAAATGTTGGACTCGAGATCTCACGCAACAAAGAGTGTTGCACAATCATTAGATTAAATGTCCTAGTTGATCTAGCTATATATGCCTTTGTTTGGGATGTGGGTTGACTTTTTGACTTTTTAACTTTTCAGTTATTTTAGCTTGGGGCTAAAAAGTCTCATTTGGATGATTTTTTTGATTTTTTTGACTTTTGTGAGAAAAAAAAATGATTATGATTTAGACGTGGCATTTTGTTTTACTAATTTTTTAGCTTATTTTGTCATTTTATGGCTAAAATAGTCCCAAAACCACCTGCCAAACATAGCTTGTGAATTGTTAGCACCATAAATTACTTGGGAAAATTACAAAAAAAAAAAAAAAACTCAAGGTTTAAGCTTGTATAAAAATAAAATTTGAGTTTTTAATTTTACTAATTAAAATCTTAATTTTTTAATTTGTTTTCAACTTAAATTATTTGTCTATTTTCAATGAGTAAAATTAGCAGAAAAATAATATTTTACTTATTAAACTCAAAGAAAAAGAATATTTTAAATATTTTATATACTCCTATATTGAATTTCATGGTTAAAATATTTTTTAATTTAAATTAAAGATAAATAAATAAATTTAAATTTAAATTGATAAAATTAAAAATATTAAATTTATTTTGTCACGAGTCCAACTTTACAAATTTTTTTTGACGAGGAAAGGATGGCTGTGTTGACTCTGTTCTGTGGCTCTTTTTGGGGTGTAGCATTATTTTTGCTGAGTTCTAAGCTTGGAGTGGTTTACGTCACCCTAACAGTTTGGGTAGAAAATATTTTTAAAAATATATATTTTTATATTTTTTGATATTTGATATAATAAAAAACGAAAGTTAATGAAAAATATTTTGGGATATTTACGTATAGGTCCTAATAAGTGGACTTATTGTCTAATAGGTCTTATGAAAAAAAATTTATCATAAAAAAACGTCACTAATTGTAAGTTTTAGTGACAATTTATAAAAATCATGACAAAAAAAGTTACTAATTGTCAATTTTTAGTGACATAAAAAATTGTCACAAAAAAATTATTTTTAGCGACAATTTTACCAAGACTTATTTTTAATAAGACTTGATAGGAATTAAGTCAAACTATTAAGACCTATTGGTAGTTTACCCAAATATTATTTTTAATGATTAATGAAAAATAAGTTTATTCAGAAAAAAATATATTTTTCACTTTCATAAGGTTAAAAATGTTTTCTGAACTAAAATTTTATCAATGTCACCACACCATCACCGCCACACTTTTTTTTGATCGGCAAAGGAAACTTTATTAATGAAAAACAACCGAATTACATCAATAAAGAGGAATTCGGAGCTAAAAAAAGCTCCAACCTCCTAGTTGGTGAGAAACCAACAATCAACGCAAAACAAAGACAAGAAACGAAGGAGAAAAAAAAAACAAAAGAACAACTGAATCTGAGCATCAAAACAACAACAAAATCTGTGCAAGCTCACTCCTAAATCTGAGCAGAACAGCATAACAGCTGAGTGGCAACATACTCCAAAATTTGAGCCAGCTCCAACCCAACAGCACCCAAAATCTTACAGCAACAGGCCAGTGGCAGACTTGCATACTGGAGCCTTGTATGAGCAACCACTACAACAAATTTGGGATTTAAAGACGAAACAAATTTGTCCCAAAATGTATATATTTCGTCACTCAAACTAATTACGACAAAAATTTTTTGTCACCCGTTTTGTCGCCGAAGCGTCGTCGCTAAAGGGTCTTGAGACGAAAAAACAAATTCGTCTTTGAAAATGATAAATTTGTGACAATTTTTTTTGTCTCCAATACACTCTGTTGGGAACATACTTGTAAGTAATTAGTAACAAAATATTTTGTCATTAAAGGAAGAAATTAGAGACAAAAGTATTTTGTCATTAATATAAGAAATAGAGACGAAATAATTTTGTCACATTTAATATAAACGAAGACGAAAATTTTTTGTCAAAGAAACTACCAATAGAGACAAACAAATTCATCATTAAAAATGATAAATTTGTGTTGAATTTTTTTGTCTCCAATACACTCTGTTGGAAACATACTTGTAAGTAATTAGTGACAAAATATTTTGTCATTAAAGAAAGAAAGTAAAGACGAAATAATTTTGTCACGTTTAATATAAACGAAAACGAAATTTTTTTGTCAAAGAAACTATCAATAGAAACAAAAACAAATTCATCATCAAAAATGATGAAATAATGTCAAAAAAAAAATCGTCACACATTGAGGGTAATAGTGACAAAATGTGACAATATTTTTCATCATGACAAATTCATTTAGCGACGAAATAAAGAATTCATGACAAAATTAATCTTCCACCTAAGCTAAATAAGAGACGAAAAAACCTTCTTTAGGGATGAAAAATTGTCACTAATTCCATAATATTTTTTTCCACATTATATACCTATTTTATCAAAATCTGAATTTTAGTTCAACAAATATAACCCTGTTCATGTTGAAACCTGTTGAATATAACAATTTCATTCACAACTTAACCTAATATGTTATCAACACATTTACGAATTAACAAAATGAAAATATCCATTCATCATTACAAATAAGTTCATCCTAATACAATAAAATAGTGCAATATCCACAAAATATCCAAAAGTTATAACTTGTACAATTCAACCAAACATCCAACAATAACTAGTGCAACTCCACAAAGTATGTGTATCCTTATCAAACAAAATGAACATTCAAGCAAATTACATCATCGTTGCACGTCAAAAATGCCACCCCAATCCAATCTTCAAAAAAATAAATTAAAAGCTTTAGTAATTAATTAACTATACAATAGATTAAAAACATTAGTAACTCATCAATTTACAATTAGATCAATTATATAATTTATCCCTCTAACAGACTTTTTTTTTTGAGATTATGATAACAAAAAATTAATTTTAAGGCTAATTCACAAATGGTGCATCCCATTAATGTGCCGCAAGTTCATACAACTTATATTGGTCCCTTCTAAGGTGTTTCTGTTAGTTCCTGTACAAATCTGTGGTTGTGTGATAATTTAGCCTTTCGACGGCCTTTTTTGAAGCTTTAAGTATAGAGAAAAAGAAATATTTTTTAGACTAATTCACAATTTATACATCCCGTGCACCTGTACAAATTGGATGTCCTATGCATGTTTCCATTACTTTCTAATTCTTCAAACATATATTCTTTTATAAAATTTGTTATATTAAAGTTAATATACTTTACCAAGAAGTATGTCCACTTATGGATGAATCCCCTCCACTTCCAAGGTGTCCAGTGAATCCTTTGGTCCTCAAAAAGTTGACAACATCAGCCATTATCTCCCCTTGCTTCTTCCTACCCTTTGGTCCTCAAAACTAGTTTGTCTATAATGAAATCCGACTCTAACTCCCAAATCGAGAACCCGATTCGAGTCTTGTCTTCAAGTCTCTCATGCCTAGGCGGTCGTGTGCGCTAAGTTTCGTGCTAATCCGACACCGTTTGATGATTTTGGGGCGTCAACACCTCGAATCCTAAGTTTCTTACAGAATTAATTTGCCTAGAATAAAATTCGGCTCTAACTCCCAAACCGAAAACCCGATTCCAGTCCCGTCTTCTCCCACAAGTCTCTCGTGCCTAGGCAATCGTGTGTGCCAAGTTTCGTGCTAATCTGACATCGTTTGGTGATTTTGGGACGTCAACACCTCGAATTCTAAGTTTCTTAAAGAATTAATTTCCCTAGAGTGAAATCCGGCTCTAACTCCCAAACCGGGAACCCGATTTGAGTCACGTCTTCTTCCACAAGTCTCTCATGCCTAGGCGGTCGTGTGTGCTAGGTTTCATGCTAATCTGACATCGTTTGGCGATTTTGGGACGTCAACACCTCAAATTCTAAGTTTCTTAAGGAACTAGTTTGCCTAGCGTAAAATCCGACTCTAACTCCCAAACTAGGAACCCGATTCGAGTCCTAACTTCTCCCACAAGTCTCTCGTGCCTAGGCGGTCGTGTGTGCCAAGTTTTATGCTACTCCGACGTCATTTGGTGATTTTGGGGTGTCAACACCTCAAATTCTAAGTTTTTTAAGGAACTAGTTTGCCTAGCGTGAAATTCGACTCTAACTCCCAAACTGGTAACCCGATTCGAGTCTCGTCTTCTCCCACAAGTTTCTCATGCCTAGACGGTCGTGTGTGCCAAGTTTCATGCAACTCCGACACCATTTGGTGATTTTTGGGCGTTAACACCTCGAATTCTAAGTTTCTAGGGATGATTGATCAACTCTCCCTCTCAATCCACACTTCTTAAGCCATATTTTCGCCTGTGTAGCAAGCTTCATTTGAGGAAGAAACATGATGGGCCATTTCAGAACCTTATCCAACAACAAAGTATTCTTCAGTTTTCTATACTTCTAAAACAGCTTTTCCAAATATTAGAAGTGAAAACGGTTACCTGTTATTGCATGCATTATCAATTTAGCATAATGTGAATAAAAAGTACTGAAGTGAACATATGCATTAACGGATAGATAAATAAATATATGCATAAATGCATTCTTGTGGAAGAAAATAGAAAGCAATCTAACATTTTCTGTTGCAGCTTGTTCAATCAATGCACAACCCAGATCAAGGTTATCATTAGTAACAAGTTGCACAGCTTGTTCAAGTTCACTTGCAATATTTAAACCCTGAAGCGAATTCATAAGCTGACTTGATATTGAGCCACATAAGGGTTCCTATCAGTAATCACACAATCATTGTCAAACACCAGGTAACAAAGGCAGACAAACATAAGATTCTAATCAGATAGGAATGCTATATTTTCAGATAACAAAACAGGACAATAGAACAGCAAAAGAGATCTCTAGTTTGAGATGAAACCTTGCTAGTTACATGAGTTAAACTTCCAGCCAAACTGGCAACCATCAAGTGTGCTGCATTACGTATGCGTGTCTCATCTAACTCCATGGCATAATCCTACAATTGCATTGTTATTCTCTAGTAAGAAAGCAACTAATAACAAATTACCCTATACATGAAATAATAATAATAATAATACTATCATATAGATGAAAGAATAATAATAATAATAATAATAAGACCATTAAAACAAGTTCTTTTGTTGTTTGAGATTCCAAAACAAGTTTTTGTTTTGTATTTTATAAGAACAGCTCATTATTTAAGTTTTAAACACCGAAAAGCTGAGGTCCACAGCTAAGAGCATTGACAACATGCAATTTCTCTATCCTCCAGTATTACCACCAATATACAAAACCTTCTTCATGTGATATACAACATCTCTCTCTATTTCGGGAGAGAACATACGGTCTTTAATTTTGGAATTGCTAATGCAACCAATAGAAAGTGATTCCAAATGGCAGTTAATGCTATAATACTTTCCAAAAGTATGATGCAAAAAGAGATATCTATCATCACTACTAAAATAAAATAAATAAACAAATAAAACACATTTCCCCTTATAAATGTCTTATGAACTTCTAAATCTAACTCCACAGCCAACATCATACCATCCTAATTACGTGTCAAGCATAAGAAATTGAGAACACAACTAATGAGGAGGTAAGCGACTTGCCATATCATTTCAATCTTACCATGTATCTCATTTCAATGTATAGTTCTACCAAAATCACATTCTATATCAATCTTCATCCTACTAACCTAAAACATTTCTGAGTAAAGTATCTCTGCACAATTTTAAGTTAAAATTCACCACAAAACAGCATTATGGATATGGATACATAGCAAACATGATGGGATTCTTCCTATACATGGTACTTCTCAACCGTGTCTCCTAGGGGCACTGAAACAAGCAACTCATGAATGCTGCCAGGTTGAAGGAGTCAACAAATCGAACATGGCCCTCTTGCTTACTATCAGTTTGGTTCCTACAACCCCATGCATGTTCTAAATGCCCTTCTTTCATTCAACTAGCAATTTATCACAATTCATAAAACATAATCATATTTGAATTTTCTTCAAACAGGGCATTCCATCATTCCCCTCACATACACAGACTTAATTAAAATTTTAAAACACCATACTCCTACAAAATATTTATAAGCATTTTATACAAACAAACTCTAACCTTAAATATCCAAATTCTATGGAAAAACCTGTTTTCCTTAACAAACATGATTAACAAGCTCTTTTAAACCTAAGCTTCTAACAAGTATTTCATTTTAAAATTCTTGGAAGTGGAATTTCCACCTTTCTTTAGTTTCGTCAACCTTTCCTGGAATCTTCAATCAGGAAAATAAAAAAAATACTAGAAATGAAGAAACAATCACTTCCAGCCAATGTTTAAAAATATATGAAGCAGACAAAAAAAAATCTTAAATCCCACAGCCAGCAAATGATATATAACATAAAAATGTGCGAAAAAGAGTAATGAGACCGAATCCAAACAACAATGAGATAATCTTTCAACATTCAATAACTGTTGTACATCCATCCTTGAGAACTCCAGCAATGCTTATAGGTTGATAGAAGTCACAGACTCACAAATCATTAACATTATAGTATCAGGCTCTATTATGTAGTTAAATAGGTCACAACTAAAACATAAATATTATGGAAAATTAGTTTGGTTTGGTTAGAGCAGTGAGTCACACCAAAGGCAATTGGCAAACTAATGGGGGAGAAAATTATGGGTATCATGCATTTTGTAAGTTCCAACAACAGAGAGAGAGAGAGAGACATTCAAAATCCAATATTAGATAAATAGCCTATCAGATCTATCATCATATTAAATCCATACAGTTTAAGGGTCCAAACAAATTACAGAGAACTTGTTTCTACTTTAAAGTACAACTGTGATTTCCCCCCACTTTATCATGTCCAAAGCAACTTGAAGAAAAGCCACTAGTTGACCTAATAAAAAGATCCTTCCAATCCTCCCAAAAAACATCAGATAAGCAGAGACAAAATTTTCTAATTTTTTTCTTCAATAAAAGTGAAATACATTCATTCTAAACAGAACATTCTCTAGCCAAATTAAGCACAGGTACTGTTTCAATAGTAAAAGCAGAATTCTTTAGCATGGTCTAAATTGAACCATTGATACAGATCTATGTTTAGTTTCTACATTAGCGAAAAACATAGACAAAACATAATTTAACACAAAAGCAGGGAATGGGGTTTGAAACCTCATGCTTGCAACAAGACATGTAAACAGTAAAGTTAAACTTCAACTGATGTCATTTTCTTGGTAATTTTCATCAGTATATGTAATGGACCAACAGGTACTTGAGACAAACAAGCACGTCATTGCTTCAAATATAACAACTTGAGTTCTCTTATATGACAGCTGTTGCTATTTGAAATTCACTTCTCTATCCTCCAGTATTACTACCAATATTCATACCACTAACATACAAAACCTTCTTCATGTGATATACAACATCTCTCTCCATTTCGGGAGAGAACATACGGTCTTTAATTTTGGAATTGCTAATGCAACCAATAGAAAGCGATTCCAAATGGCAGTTAATGCTATAATACTTTCCAAAAGTATGATGCAAAAAGAGATATCTATCATCACTACTAAAATAAAATCCATATTTCTTCTTCCTCCAGTTATGGCCATCTTTTCCTAAGTATCTCATGAAATTCCCATTTGTAACCTCTTTTCAAATTCAATGATCATTTCTTAAGCTCTGTACCAAGGTAAGCAAAGATGAATTATTGGATTTTAAGCAGCACAAGGGTGAGCTCTTCTTCTTCTACAACAGAATCTTTATCATCTTCTGCCACCATCCAGGGTTGTTTAGGCCCCTGAACTCCATTAACCAATCATCAAATTCAATAGAGATGTAAGTGCCATTACATCACAACAAGTATTGCCTCAACGGCTAAAAACACAATTGCTTCAAGGCAGAGAGAGAGAGAGAGTGAGAACAAATTCATGCTACGAAAACCAGCTCACATATAGAGAAAAATAGTTACACGTTATATGCAATTAAACAATGCAATGTGAGACAAAATATGAATAGTACATACTCAATTACCTTTCCTTGCCGAATGATTCTTGGGAGACTCCCTGTTATGTCAACTACAGTGGACAGATTAGCCACTCTAACACCCACATCAATGACAAAATCAAGACCCTGAGATAGATAAAATAGAGCAAGTCAAGTAAGACATTAGGGCACAAAAAAGTAAATTTTCTTTGTGAGTTGAGAAATTGTTGAATAACATATGTAATAGAACTTATTCTGCTGTTTTTCCCTTATCATTTGAAAGCACAACCCTGTACCTTTTTAGACAGCATTATTATTTGAATAAGATAAAGTCATTAGGAAATGAAATTATGGAACAAACAATAGCTTTAGGTCATATTTGTGACGTGATCCTTAACAAAGTAGACATTGATCCAGGTTGAAAGTGCCAAAAAGACAATAAGGCGGCCAAAATAACATTGCTTTGAGGCCAATAGAAACTGTTAGAGCTGATTAAAAAAAACAGGTCCATGTAGCAAAAAAAATATAGGCAACAGATTCATTTGGTTTGGTGAGCACACAATTTAAAAATTACACTATTATTTCATAATTTTTAACCAGAAACATGACCCACATACTAAAAACCTCAGTGTATGACCTGACAAACATGTTCCTGATAATTTCCAATAAGGCACATATACAGATAAACCCAATCAAATAGATCTATAATAATTCATGTATTCCTGTATAAAAATGTCAAATAGTCTCATGCAACCAAGCTGTCTTCAAGAAAGTACCAGCTCAATAATGTTTCGCTTCTCCTTCAGCCATAGACTATTCTTCAAACTCTACCAATGGGTTTCCTTTCTCATTTGAGATTCAGGTGCAGATTTTTCTTTTTAATTTTATTTTTGAAACAAAAAGAAAACACAGATCGCTGTGGAAACTTCTTCAAAAATAGAAGTGTCAAGATCCAATAAAGCTTTATAGAACTTTATTAACTAATTTAAGTAATGCACTCAAGAAGTGGGCAATTGCTCTGTTACTTTTCAAATTTTTAATTTAAAGCTGAAACTTTGGCTTTATAAAACTTTTAAATTTTTTTTTTATTTAACTATCTTGTACCTGGTGGTGTCACTAATTTTAGTAGATTACAAGAAATTCGCTAAATCCCAAAAATGAGATTTGAGAAATAGTCAAGTTCTGAAAATCTTTATACATCTGAAAACATTATTTTGATCATTTTCCTATTTATTTAGGATCATGCCTCCATATCGGGCCGGAAATTCAGATCACAAGTACATGGTATGGATTGTGTGTGATTCTTGTAAGTCGGCCTTCGGTAATCTCGGATTACTGGCCATCACGGCACCAGACTACTAGGGGCGGTTTGGGGGCGTGACAAACACATTGGCCATGTCATTACCGTTCTCCGTGATGCCCCTCCTGGCTATAAGCTTGGTCTCTTTGTAAAGAGGAGGTTTCGGGGTCAAACTACTGCTACTGCCACAAAAGCTAATAAGAGTACTTAAGCTTTGCTTGAGAATTTGTTTTTTTTATGGTTCTTTGACTTTTTACGAAAAGACATACAAAAAAGTAAAAAAAATAGGTTGACTTTTTATGGGGGCTTTTTGACTAATTTAGCTACTTCCCAAACAAAGCCTTAGACAGTGTTACTATATGAAGTTCTTTAGGGTTATGATTTGAGGTTTTGGATAACTTGTGCTAAAATATTTTTTTTTATTTTTTATTTGGAATCAGCTACTTGAGATTTTAACGTTATGATTAATGTTTGCTGTTGGTAGAATATAGGCACATTTCAGATTATTTCTTGCTATTGGAATGGAGTTACTCATGTTTGATAACCTGTTGACTGCTTAAATGACCAGTTTAGACTAACTTCACTGGGCATTACGAAAATGAAATAAAGTTATAATTTAGTATGTTATAGTATTAAAATGTCAAATTTTGATAATATTTCTACAAATGTCATTTTGGCACATTTAGATTACAATGTCAAAATGAAACCCTAAAAAACCCAGCAAAAGTTATTCCCTTTTCTTCTTTTTCTTTTAAAAAATTATAAACCCAGTAAAATTATGCAAGTTTAAACCAAGATTCGAATTGTACTAATACTATTCCACTTTATTAAAATTTTTTATTTTACTTAAATACCCTGATCTGCATCGTATAATAACTTCAAAAGATTCGGGTTCTCTTCTCAGGAAAGAAGGGTTCATCAAGACACAACAGTGACGATTGACACCAAAATATAGTATTTTTACATTCATATGTTCAGTATTATAGTGATTTTAAACTATATAATATTCAAATTAAAAATTTTCATGTAGAACAAAAATGAAGGTAAAAAGAAGAAATTCAAAGAGTAAATTAAGAAAACACATATATAAACCATGAAACAAAGGAGGGAGCCTTTACTTGAGGGAGTCGAATTTGGAGATTAAGAGCGAATTTGGAGATCACATAGGGTCGTCGACCTAGAGCATGAGATTCAAGCCTTGAAGATAAAAAAAATAAAATATAAATAAATAAAGTGTGAGAGAGAGTGAGAGACAAGAGAATACATACCAATGTTAGGGTTTATGAGGGCAACAACTTGCTCAGCAAATTCGAGCTCTCTAGAATCCCTGGTTCCTTATATTATAGTGTGCTTCTACATTGATGCTCTGCAGATTCGAGCTCTTGTCGATGGAGGAGTTAGAATGAGAGTGAGATGAGTAGCGCGGAGATGGAGATGGAGATGGAGATGGAGATGGAGAGGTGGGGAGAGAGAGAGAGAGAGAGGCTTGAACGTGAAAATGAGAGGAGGGAAAAAGAAATCATAGGCGCCAAAGGGTTTGAGGAAATTTGGAAAAATTGGGCATTTTGACTATTTTTGAGAATATATATTGATCACACTATGGGATTTTATTTATTTATTTGTTAAAATAATTTTATTATTTTTGTTTCTTGTAGTTAATGCAATTTTTTTATTTTGATTTTTTAATTTTTTTTAGTTACTAAAGGAGAAAATTTATTTGTTTCATTTTTATTTTAATGAAAAAAATTTATTATTATTTTTTATTTGGTAGAAGTAGGGGTAATATTTTAATAAAAAATATTTTCTGTTAAAATAAAGTTAATTTTTTGTGGTCAATGAAAAATATTTTTCTACGGCCCATTTTTTTTTTTTTTTGTTACTAAAAATCAGGAACTAATTTTTTTTGCTAGAGGAGAGGGGAGCGACAGTAGTGGTGAAGGTGGTGTATAAGAGGGGATGGTGGTGGTGGTGATGACGAAGGAGATTAGTGGTGAAGTTGTGGTAGTGGTAGAAGAGATGGAGTGGCGGTGGTGGAGGAGAGGTAATGGTAGTAGTAGTGGCAATAGTGGTGGTGGTGGTAGTGGAGTGGTGGCGATGGTGGTAATAATATTAGTTGTAGATGTGGAATGGCAACAGTGGTAGCGAAATGGCATTTGCAATAGTGGTGAATGTGGTAGAGGAGATGGGTGATGAGAGAAAGGGATAAGTGTGAGACAAATAGTGAAGAGAGAGAGAAAGAGAGAGTGATGAATGTGTGTGTGTGAGAGAGAGAGAGAGAGAGAGAGTGGTTGCTAAAAGTGCATTTTCTTGTAGTGGATCAATTTATTTAAAATCAAAAAATTAGAAATTTTAGTTTGAGATATTGAAGAACCCACAAAACTTGTGGTTAGAAACTCCATTTTACTTGTACAATATATATATATATATATATATATATAGATTTAATAAGAATTTATATTCATTTTAGATATTTTTTTAATATACAAATTATTTTTTAAATTTTTTTTATGAAAATAATTTAAAAATCTCATCAATAACCATAATGTATGGAAAAAGTTGAAAATGGTATAAGAATAGGTATGAGAGAAGTCAAAAAGGCTTATGGGTTGGGAGAAATCAATGAACGCTGAGGTTTTTTTTTTTTTAAATCCAAAATTTAGAAAATTAAGATTGAGATATTGGAACTCCCACAAGGCATGTGAGTTAGAAATCCTTTTTTCCTTATATAATATATAGATAGATAGATAAATAAATTTAATAAGAATTTATGTTTGTTTTAGATATTTTTTTAATATACAAATTATTTTTTTAAACATTTTTTTATAAAAATAATTTAACAATCTCATCACCAACGATAATGCATGGGAGAAGTTGAAAAAGATGTAGGAGTAGATATGGAAGAAGTCAAAAAGTGGGTTGAGAGAAGTCAATAAATGCTGAGTTTTTTTTTTAAATAAAAAATTTAGAAAATTAAGATTGGGATATTGGAGCTCCTACAAAGCTTGTAAGTTAAAAACTCCCATTTTCCTTATATAATATATAGATATAGATAGATAGATAGATAGATAGATAGATAGATAGATATAGATATGGCACATACCATTTATATGACACAAGGACCAAAGTACCGGGACAACTGTTGCAATTTTCCCTCATCTAAATTAAAGGGATTTAAAAAGTAAAAAAAAAAAAGAAAAAAAAATAATAATATTAAAAAATGTTCACTAAAAAAATATTGATTAAAAATTACAAATTAATTATTGAAAACTTCATACTAAACAAGGTAATGGTTTCTATTAATTTTGAAAATTAAAAAATTATTATTAATTTTTCCGCTGTTTTTGTTTCTCACAAAAAAATAGCTATATTAATTATTTCTTTTTTTTTTTTGTGAAGAGGGGTTTTGACCTGCGATTTTTCTAAAATGGGTGTTTTAGACGGAAATGGTAGAGTTGGTTCAGACAATAAGAAAAAGTGCTTATGCAAGAGGCACCTACACTATGAGAAAGAATAGTCGGTTTTACATAGGGTGCCTTCTTGGATAATAGCTTCAATACTGGCATGCATGAAGGGCTTAAGTGTGAGACATATGAGAGGGGCTTTAATGCGAAAATAGAAGAAATGGTTTACAGAGTGTCTTCTTGCTTCACGACTTCAATACTTGTGAGAGAGGAGTAGGCTCAAGTGCGAGAGAGAAACGAGGGTTTGTAGAAAGTGTCTTCTTGGGTCACGACTTGAGTGTCCGTGCACATGAAAATGAGTGATAAGAGTCAGAGTGTGTCTCTTGGGGTCATGGTTTCAGTGCTCCGAAACACAAAACCATAGCATATTAGTAAAGAGAAATAATTAGTGATAAAATATTTTTGTCTCATTAAATACAAGAACAGAGAATTTATTATTGGTGACGAAATATTTTTGTCTTCCACAACATAACCTTACGAGATGAAAAATATATTTGTCACGCAATCAATCAGAATTTATTAGTGACGAATATTTTCATCTCCCACAACTTATTCTTCCAAGACAAAAATATATTTGTCGCCCATTTAATAGAAAGATGAAACGACATTGTTTGCATGATGAAGTGTTTATTGGTGACGAAAATGTTCGTCTCTAATGAGTTAAAATAATTCGCGCCAATGCAAATGAAATTGGCGCTTGCATTTTGCAGACGAAATTTTTTTTTCGTCTCCTATACGTTTGAGAAAAATTAAAACCGGCAAAATTGATATTTTGTCATCTTTGGGTTAAATTTTAAGACAAAAAAAAAAATTTTGTCACCAAATTTTGTCACAATAGCCTAGATTTCTTGTATTTTGTTTCCTTGTTTTTATTTTTATTTTTATTTTTATTATTATTATTATTATTATTATTATTATTATTATTATTATTATTATTATTTTCTTTTTGTGGAAAGGGGTTTACTATGAGAAAGAATAGTAGCTTTGCACAAAATGTCTTATTGGATAATAATGTTTGCATGCACAAACGGCTTAAATGTAAGAGATAATAGAGGAGCTTCAGTGTGAAATAGAAGAGATGGTTTATAGAGATTGTTTTCTCAAGTCACAGCTTCAATACTTGTGAGAGAGGAGACTCAAGTGCGAGAGAGAAATGAGGGTTTGTAGAGGGTGTCTTTTCGGGTCACGACTTTAGTATTTGTGTGTGTGTGAAAGTAAGTGATTAAGGTGAGAGTGTCTCTTAGTTTCTGACGACATCTTAATAAAGAGGAATAATTAGTGATAAAATATTTTCGTCTCAAACTCATATGTTCGTTGCCTAATCAACAAAAATACAAAAACAACGTTGTGTGGGGATGGAGAATTTATTGGGGATGAAATATTTTCGTTTCCTTCAACTTAACCTTATGAGACGAAAATATATTCGTCGCGCAATCAATCAAAATGTAGTACGACACATGGAGAATTTATTAGTGACGAAATATTTTCGTCTTCCAAAACATATCCTTCCGAAACAAAAATATATTTGTCGCCTAATTAACAGAAAGATAAAACGAGCATGAAGAGTGTATTGGTGACGAAATATTTTCGTCTTCCATAACTTATCATTCCCAGACAAAAATTATATTTGTCACCAAATAAATAAGAAAATGAAACGACATCGTCTAATAAATTTAGAATTTATTGGTGACAAATTCCTTTTGTCACAAAAAACTTTAAATTTTGTGACAAAAATTTTCGTCTCCAATGAGCTAAAATAATTGGCGCCAACAAGAAAAAAAATCGACGCCTCTTTTTTCTGACGAATTTATTTTTTCGTCTCCTATAGTTTTGAGAAGAATTAAAAGAAACGACAAAAGTAATATTTGGTCATGTTTGGGTTACATTCTAAAACGAAAATAAATTTTATCACCAAATTTTAAAAATTAATTATTGAAAACTCCATACTAAACAAGGCAATGTTTTCTATTAATTTTGAAAATTACAAATTTTTTATTATTTGTTTCTCTGTATTTTTTCTCACAAAAAAAATAGTTACATTAATTATCTTTTTTTTTTTTTTTTTTTTTTTTTTGTTGGAGAGAGGTTTTGACCTTCGATTTTTTCTGAAATGGGTGTTCTAGACAGAAAGGGTAGAGTTGGTTTAGACAATGGGAAAAACTACTTGCGTGCAAGAGGGCCTTCGCTATGAGAAAGAATAGTGGGTTTGCATAGGGTGCCTTCTTGATAATAGCTTCAATGCTGGCATGCACGAGGGGCTTAAGTGTGAGACAGAAGAGAGGGCTCTAGCGCGAATAAAAGAAATGGTTTACAGAGTGTCTTCTTGAGTCATGACTTCAATACTTGTGAGAGAGGAGTAGACTCAAGTGTAAGAGAGAAATGAGGGTTTGTAGAAAGTGTCTTCTTGGGTCACGACTTCAAGGTCCGTGTACATGAAAATGAGTGATAAACGTCATAGTGTATCTCTTGGGGTCATAGTTTCAATGTTTCGAAACACAAAACCACGGCATTTTAATAAAGAGAAATGATTAGTGATAAAATATTTTTGTATCCTTAAATACTAGAACAAAGAATTTATTATTGGTGATGAAATATTTTTGTCTTTCACAACTTAACCTTATGAGACAAAAAATATATTCGTCACTCAATCAATTAGAATTTATTAGGGACAAAATATTTTTGTCTCCCACAATTTATTCTTCCGAGACAAAAATATATTTGTCGCCTATTTAATAGAAAGATGAAATGACATTGTCTGCATGATGGAGTGTTTATTGGTGACGAAATATTTTTGTCTTCCATAACTTATCCTTCCCAGACAAAAATATATTTGTCGCCTAATAAATGGAAATATGCAACGACATTGTTTAATAGGTATGGAATTTATTGGCAACGAATTACGTTTGTCACAAAAAAAATTGTATTTTGTGACAAAAAATGTTCATCTCCAATGAGCTAAAATAATTCGCGCCAATGCAAATGAAATTGGCGCCTCATTTTTGCGAATGAAATTTTGT